GCAAACGCGAGGATGAGGGATCCAGTGTACGGGTGCGTGAGTGCTATATCTTCTCTACAAAACCAGGTTGACCTCCTGCAGTCTCAGTTGGCACTTGCACAGGCTCAAGTTCTCCAAATGCGAATCTCCTCCACCCAATCCTCCTCCTCGCTGATATCTATGTCCCAGGATCAGTACTATAACAGTACCACTGTGCCCACTGATCACAACTCTGCGCCACCTGATCATCATCATCAGAATCACTCTCCCACCGCGTCCAGGGATCATCGCCATCTTGAGCCCACCTCGTCCCATTTCAACACCGATACGCCGCCCATGATGCTGGATGAGGGCAATATTGGGGATTCCTTGTGGTCGTACTAGCATAATATTGCATATACATGTCATACACCCACATCCCTAGCTAATTCCTGTAGCTGTATACATTTCCATGTACTACTACTATACTACTATGGATTGACTCCCCTGTCCCTCTTCTTCTTCTTCTTTTTTTTTTTTTTTGTTTTTGGGAGTTTAATTGCTCACTTTCTGAATCCTTTACCCGCCTGACTCGTGAGTTTGTTTAAATTAATTTGATATACCAATCACTAACCACGCATGCCATAGTATATACACTTGTACCTATCTAATTTGTATCGGCGCGTGATTATATATGCTTATGATTTTCAATTTTTCAGTTGCAGTAGTTCATTAGATGTATACGCCTTCTCTTGTAAGGCATTTTATTTCTAGTTCCACGACATGTCTTTCCGCTTCAAGTTACCCGAGAACGTTTGTACAGCAGGTGCAGGCTTGTAAAGTGAAATCAGGCACTAACTACTTCTTTGGAGTAGTTGACCACCACATGTCTTTGTGGAGTGGAATCAGAGATAAGGGTTTAAACATTGCCTTCCTCTCATTAAAATTGCCACTTAATGTGATTTCTCTTAAATTCATATAGGTGTTTAGTGCATCCGTGTATAGTCCAATGGTAGTTCAGTTTCATTGGTTCCCCATGGCCCTTCCCTTAGTATAGGTGTAGATGGTGTAGGACTATGGGTAAGAGTAGGTGTAAATGATAATAAAAAAAAAAAAAATTAGTTCGAGGGTAGTTCAGTCTCATTAGTTCTCCGTAGCCATTCCCTTAGTATAGGTGTAGAAATATAGAAATATGAATAGAAATAGGTGTAAATAGTGACAATAGATTAAGAAAAAAAAAAAAGGATGTCAGGCGTTTTGGTCTGTGCCGGTGAGTTACCTTTAAGGCGTGACTATCGGAAGAAGATTTACAAAACTGCAGGACTAGCTGGGCCTGTTTGAACTTTGAAGTTAGTATGATTTAAACCCTTGTTTAATGGGCCGAAACACATTTTTATGGGATACTACATGGGCCATTAAGGCTATCACTCTAACAAATTTATTGGAAAGCCGCGCCCGAGGAAAGCTAATCACTTGTACTAAGAAGAATCATTACAAATGTATTGTTTACCCGCGCGTCGCGTGCATGCTGCCATATTGATATTATTGTCATGTACGTACTGCTCCAATAAAACTACTACTACTAGTCTATACAAAGGCCTTTTTTTTTTTTTGTCTGTCAACATTCCATTATAGTTATCCCCGTTTAGAAGTTTCCATTCTGATTAGAGACGGGTTTTTTTGGCCAAGCACAAAACTATAGATTGCAAAATGTTACTTCACAGGTACTGTTACTACTTCCAATCTTGTTCAAGCGCAATGAACCTTTTGCATCCCACTAATCGACCTATAATTATGATAGCAATCTCAAATGGAGAATCCTCGTCTGCAAAAATTTGTTGTTCAACTAGTTGGTGTAGCTACTAGCTTCTGAGGGGACCAGCTTACGCACTACTGTTTGGAGTCAAAGCACAGGTCACTGTCCAATTCACCTTCATGGCCTCTCATTTTTCTTTTTCCTTTCGCCTTCTTCTTCTTCTACAAAAACCTCATGTGCATTTTGCAAAATCTATGAGTAGTCAAATCAGTCCCTAAATCGAAAGAGGAGATTCCAACGGCCAAAACTTTTCAACTTCAGAAAATGCGGAAATGATCACCTGAAAGAAAGCTGCGCGCTGCTCGAATCTTCTGTATGTCATTTTCCCAGTACCCTTTTTCTTATTTATAATAATTGTACTACAGTAAGTAATTATTTCATGGATTCATTGGTTTAACAACCATTCTGTACTAATAATTTAGTTCTTTACACGGCCACACTAGTGTGTGTGTGTGTATATATATATCCGTTTGGTAGACAGCCAATGAATGCGTGATCATGAAAGTTAAAATCCCACGTGGTTAGGAGCTTCCGATGATCAAAGAAACCTACAGTAATTGATTTTTATGCTTCATGGAGGAGTTGATGAGTACTGATCATGTTGGAATTTATAAGTTGTTTTGTGTTAATGGTCAAGAGCACAAGTGAAGCAAGCATCTTGTTTCCGCATTCCATTACGATGCAAATTACATCAAGTATACTAAATATATAGGAAATGATAGTGGCACTCACCCCTTAATTAAATTTAATCTAATGCAAAAGAAAGAAATGTGTGTCTAAGGTTTTTTTTTTTTTTTTTTTTACTTCAAGGAGTATTAATATCATTTCCCATACTAAATTGGTACAACATTTAGTTGTCTTGTCACGGAAGTCATTTGACCATTAATCAATGTGTATTATTTGTAATAAAGTCTTGTTTCATGCATTGGTCCTCATGACCCAAAGGAAGCTTAGCTTAAGTTACCAATCACAAATCACTTTGGAGATCAGTATCACCACTGTTTTTATTGGGCATAGTGATTATTGCTCACAAGATTATGCTAGAGATTATTGACCTCAGGATGGCGATTAAAGAGCGTTAGTGGTCAACCAATAGGAGAGAGACGGTGTTGAGTTTTAATATATCAACAGTGTGTTGGGGGCCTTGAGGTGGTACTTGTGGTGGTGAGTGGCTTCGACTCCCCAGCTTTGTGGTCACAAATAGGATTGCAAGACAACTAGTTATCGCCGACAAATCTACTGGGGATTGATCGAACCCTTGAACATGAATTTGGAGCCAGCCCCAATATCCATTCCTGCAACACTAGAAAATGATCGGAATCATAAACTGTACAGCTACTGCTAAGGCCTAAGCTTAGCTATCTCGTAGGCTCACAAGTCACAGACTTTTACATCCCACTCAAGACATAACCATCCTCAGTTAGCCCTACCTCAACTCCAAAGGACGGACACACTAGACTGATTTCTTCTGTATTCCCTCATTTTGTGTGATTTCGGTAATGATTGCGCTGCTGCATCGACAAGGACAGGGCATCACCCCAGCCCGGCCGCCACCATTTCCATTAATTCCCCATCTAGTTGCAGGGGAAGGGCTGGCGTATTTGTTTCCATCATGCCTGATTTGATCAAACATATTACTGCTATCTCCAACGAAACCCGGCCAGTGGATTTAGTTGCAATCACATGCAGTTCTCTAATGTTCTATCGCACTGCAACCCAATTCTTTGGAGTATTGGCATTGGAATGATTAAATTGGATTGCAGGGTTACAGTAGTATATGATCTGGCGATGGGGACAAATTTGCAAAGTTGATGTTGCAGTCACCTCAGTATAACAATCTTTAGTGCCTTCTTACGATCAGGAGAATGCCTGCTTGTGACACCTATCTTTTCCTTCCTCCTCCTCTCCAAATTCTCTGACGAGGAATTCTTCAGAAAACTTAACTAGGAGGGGGCCTCTTTCCACCGCACTTGGCATCTTTTTGTTGACTTTCGTGCTTGACTTTAAATTTGCAGAAAAGATGAAAAAATATATATATATATATATATATATATATATATATATTTTGTGCCTTAATTCCTGTTCTTTAATAATAATGCACTATTTACCTATCAAACAAATATCGCAATCATGCAGGCTAAGTGCGAGTGATGTTTTTAAACAGCAGTACTCAGTACAGTAGTATATTATCCCAAAGAGTTTTTATCATAAGCCAACATCACTATGCTTTCGAATCACTAATTACTTTGAAATTAGTACGTACCAGCATTAGCTCAACTAGCTAGTGTGGCGCTGGTCAACTTATTGAACAGAGCAAGGAATTAATATGTGTTCATTACATCATATGCGTTCTCAGCTAGACATTCAGTAAATAATTATACAATATCTATTGTGCAGCTATAATACATATGAAATATTAAAATTTTGTTGGTTAAAGTTCCATTCTATACTAAATACGCAGTTTTTTTTTTCTCGATTTTGCAATCCCTCTCCAGCTTGCAACAATCCGGCACGAATCGCTATCTTTTAATAATTCATTAACACTTGATAATTGTTTTTATTTGATCATCCACAACAAAATTTCCTCTTTAATTTTTTTTTGTCTTTCTTCGTATTCATACAAAATTTGCTTTCATTAGTTTCAAACATAGATTCCTGTCTGTCAGCCAGTTTGGTTGTTGGCCATGCACGTAAAACGTAACCATCCCGAACCTTACCCTGGTCACACGTACCAACCATTATATAAAATTACGTAATCCAAAAGAAAAAAAAAAGGGTGCTTATCTGCAGTTATTCAACATTTTAAGCCTGGGAAATTCCGTAATAAATTGCAAGCTAAATGTTTCTTAAACTTCCAATTTCAACCCCAACTGTTGATCGTTGTTCCCGGTCTTGCATATGGCTGGAAACTGAATCAAAGTGGGGTTTGGTCATTTGTGTAGTACCTGTGTTTAAATATTACCCCAAGCCCAGAAGATATTCTCCCTGTCTCCCGCTTCCCAACTGATAACATAAGACTGGAAATGGTTTGTAATTTTGGGAGGTCAGATGCGGTAACGATTCGTTCTATAAATAAATTTTGGTTTTTCCCCCCTCAAAAGTTGCCAAAATTCATCGCACATGAAAGATGAAAAGTCACGTATTAACTTAAAGAATCCAAACCGTCTTTGATTAAAAATATTTGCACGTAGGGTCAAATAGCTACTATGTATGTATGTATGGTGTATTGGAAGTATCCTGCAGCATGTTTCATCCGAATTAGCAATCACAACACGTATGGTTGTCCAGCTAATTAAGCTCAGTAGCCGGATATATATGGATCTCAACCATGAACAACGAATTGCGCGCTTAAGCCACAGAAACAAGAAAAAATCATGAACGGGCCAAATATCTTAGTATTACAATGATTTACCATGAGGGGACCAAAAATAAATAGCATGAATCAGCCGGCTTCCCAGCTTGGAGAAAGATGCTAGTTCATCAGGTACTTGTCCGGAAGCTCCAGTCCATTATCCGGCGCTATACGATAACACATAAGGCTGGCAATAGCCTCCTGCAGCCATTCCTCGTCATAGGATTTCATGATCTGTTCCAGTAATTAATGTAACTAACAAGCATATAGTCTACATATGTGGCCGGTCAAAGATTACTTTTTAGCAACCTAGCCCCGGCGCGGAGTATGATAATAGTATATATGATCGACATGATGAAGTGATGACGTGCGAGCGGTGATGGTTTGACAATTAATTAATCAAGCACCGCGTCAGTTATAGTTAATCGGTTACCTGGTCGTCGGCAGGAATGTTGTAGCATGAATCTGCTTGTTGAAGATTGCTATCTGTCTTCACCAGTACTAGCGTTTGATCATCTTCGCAACATTCATTATTCCTGGCAAATCTTCCACGAACACGGACCCTCTTGTCGGCTAGGGTTTTGCGACAGGCATACTGCACAAGCAAGCAGTGCAATATTTGTTTTTTCCCTCAAAAAAAAGAGAACTATATATATAGATATCAAATGCTGAAACCTTAACTTTTGGTACATATATATACAGGGGGAAGGAAAAAAAATTCATGGTCCATTATATTATATATACTGACGGAGAATAAGGACGCATGTAAACTGATCATCAAGTAACCTTGATAGTCTTGTTGAAATTCCTTTGACTTCTCTTCTTTAAGTATCTGAGAATTCTGTCTTTCCTCTCTTCAGCTGAATACCGGGAGACCTTCAATGTCGCCTCTTCCATCCTTTGTGCTACCCCGCCTTGAATTTCCTAACACATGAAATTTAACCTGTCAGCTATGTTAATGAACAAGAAAATAAAAATGTTCCTTCAGTCCTGTAAGAATAGAGAGTAGTATGGATTTCCAAATATAGAGAAAAAATTTTAAAAACAATAAATAAATAAACTATTTTGTTTTGAAATAAAAAATATATATATGACAAAAGCTTGTGAATTAATTGCACGTGGTGAAGGGTTGTTAAAAAATTAGTACATAAATTAATAAAGGAGAAAAAAGTACTAGCACTAGTAGATAAACTGGGTACCCAATTGTCGGAGGTCATGGCCCGCGGATAGAGAGGCCAGAAGTTGGAAGCCGGGGCGCCGCATTCTTGATCTCCAAAGTCATATGCCCGATCATGTTGGTGGCAGTAATTGCCGGCACCACTGCTCAAACCTTCGTTTCCGGAAATGCCAAACAAGGTGCCTGATAATGTAGCATAACTAGTGGGCCCTACTAATGCTGGGTCATGGGTTGTATCCGAAGGCCCAAGCGGTTCGGCTGTTGGGTATGATAATGCTGCTGCTATTGACGACAAGGATGAGGAGGAGGAGGAGGAGGAGGGGGTGGAGGAGCAGCTGATATCTGAATCAAAAGGGACCATACTACTAACTGATGCTCCATTCATGTCGGAGGAGAAAGGTAAGGTTAGTTGAGGAGCAGTGATGGCGGAGGATGTGATGAGGTGATCGGCTGGAAGCTGGGTGGTGAATTCATCAGAGCACACGTAGTTATCAGGGTAGTAAAACTGAGAAAAGGAAGCCATTGAGAGAAGAGGAGAGAAGAGAAGAGAAGAGAACAGGGGAGGTGTTGTGGGCGGTGTCAAATGCTTTATATGCCCATTTAGTATTTATAGCATATGTAGTAGTAAAAGCTTTTCGAGGCAGGCAACTTGTTCTCCCTGCCACAGTTGCACTGTTGCCTGCTGCCTGTTGCCACCACCCCCCAACCATGCATGTGTGTGTGTGTGTGTATATATATATATATATATATATACATTTTCTTTGCTCTACAGTACTGTTGTGTTACGAGCTTTCAGTCAACAGTTGAAATGTTAGTAAGAGGAAATCCTTGAACCAAAGTTTAGTTCGATTCCTTTAGGTTAGAATACCAGGTTACAGTCCATTCAAAAAAAAAAAAAAGGAAATTGCTTGGAGAAGAACCAAAATGAATGAAGAATTTTAATTGTTGGTTCTGGAAAATGGATTTTGATGAAGGTAATTAATTAACAAAGTGCTTTGTGGAGGAGGGAGCAGCATGATTTTATTGTTTTCGGCATACGTATTAATTTTAATTCATGCACGAATTGCTGAAAAAGCAGTTAAAATAAAACTCGTAGCGATCGATATTATGCACTCCACTACTGACACGACACGCTGTGTAGTAAGTACTCCATAGCATAACAGTTGTTGGGGACACTATACTGTGTAGTGTAGCCGCAGGGCAGCAACATTTTGAGATGGCTAAATACCGCCACCAGCACTTAGCACCATGCGACATGCCTCTATAAAAATGAAAAATAAGTCATAGGAAACGAACGAAAGCATTAGATCATCGAGTTTTATGTATTCCCCTGCCATAACAAACCTCTATATATATACATATATGTATCTTCTGCTAATCACATGCATAGTTCCACACTAATCAGATATCCTGTCTACAAAGTTGATTAAGGTATCAGTTTTGGGAGTTTTACGTGATACTCCTTAGGCTCTCAATCCTTCCCCGTCCAGAAGGGATGGAACCAAAAAAAAAAAAAGTCCTACCCGATGGAATAAAATTCGATCAGCTGCTGGGGTTGGGTTCTAAAACAAAATTCCAAGAGGAATCCATTGGGCATCTCAAAAACATGTGCACAAACAAAAGGCAATTATCAACAACAAAAAAAAAAAAGGCAAAAAGATGCATGCATAAGCATAACATAAGAGGTGTTTTTTTTTTGGTTAAAAAAAAAAAAAAGGAAACCCATATTCCGTAACCATCAGAGGTGTCCTGTTATTCTCAGTGGCGGTAAACTTTGAAGACTTGGACTAGTATGGTATGGTATGGTATGGTAGTACACTGATATCGGGTGTTATCTGGTGATTGCAAAGATGTGACCTATTCCTTCCTTTTAGGCTACGAATCCAACACATGGGGTGGGGGGCTACTCACAGATTGTGCATTAACGCGCCACAATCCACATATATATTATGCCCAGAACGAGATTCCGCATTTCCTGTTCCTTCACCTGTTCCTCACTTGCCAAATCTACAGTCTACAGTACAATACAAGCCGCCTCTTACCAAGTTTTTGTTTTATCTTCCAGTTCTCTTAAATAAAACTCAATTGGAACAACCCTCTTCCGCTTGGCTTTAATATGCGTCGAGTTAAAATATGAGTTTTTTTTTTTTTGGGGCTTTAATTAATTATGACAAATGGTGAATCAACGAACGAACGAACGAAAGAATTCATTCATAATTGGGCCAAGGAAGGTGGAGGCTGTAGTCCCCAATCTTTGCGAGACGAATCAAGCAAGCATTTAGGAATGCCACTTCCATGCGGGCCACTGCTGCCCTTTTCCACTTGGTAGAATTTTTCTTACACAAGCTTCGCCCTATTCTCCGCGCCGCAGAAAGATGGAGGAGAAAGAAATCAGATTAAGATAACTTTTTGAGTTTCTTTTTTTTTTTTTTTTTTTTTTGGGGGGGGGGGGGGGTTGGAAAAAAATAAAAACAGCCAAAGATGCATATCATCATGTACATATCGCCTGCTGCTGCTGCTTTTGGATTAGCATCAGGTGCTGAGTAGTACGACTGCGTCTCCTCTGGCGGGGCTCCCATATTCCATCATCACAGAAGTTATCCAGCTAAGCTTAAAGGGGCAAAAAAAAACGTCGGCCTTTTTCACCCACCCACTAGCCCCCAGATGCATTCCAACTTCATCGAATTTTGATTTCAGTGTTTATCCTTACCCGACACCCCGCGTAAAACCTCGTTCATGTTTAGCAGACTACAAGGATGGTGCCGCCATTCGGTCACAACTTGCTAGTTACACAGCACAACTTGCGGTTCAACGCCTAATGATCTACTATATAACTTAATCTGGTCCACAACAATTTATTCCTGAGAGTGATTACGAATATATATATTTCTTTTTTCATTTCTTCAATTCCCACAGAATAAAGAACTACTGAAGCCTAGCCTGATGAAGAGCAAACAAATTGCTATAAAATTCCTCAATCACAGAAACTAGCGTCTGGAAGATTAACTAGTGATGTGATGTGAGAGGAAAGGAAGCGTCTGGAGTACTGAATTGGAGGCAGGAGAAAGCTTACACTTGCAATTTGAGATGGACCAATGTTATCTTAATGCTTCACTACTGCATCTATGGGTTACTTCGTGTGGTTCACACAATGATGTCTTTGAATGCATCTTAGAAGACAAAATTTCCAAATGATTTGATGGAAATCTTCCAACTTTGGAATAAAAGCGGAGGAAAATATCTCTCACCTCTGAAGAAAGATCCAGACGCGAGAGTTGCTAAGTACACGGTACGCTTTGTTCTCTGATCGCTCGACATCTAGTCTCCCCTCCTCTTTTAGTCTTTTCTTTTAATCCGTCCGCTACTTTGAAAGTAGATGGAATTCATTTGCCAACAAGGTCATGTTGCACCAACGTGTTGCCTGACAAGCCAAAAAAAAAAAAGAAAAGGAAATGAATATGAATCTCGAGCGGGGCATCAGATCACTGCAGATCGATCTTTTTTTTGCCAGTTTTCCTTTTTTTTTTTGGACAGTACACTTTCTTTGTTACCCTAAGCAAGATGAGATTCTCTAGTCACAGCTTTGTCAATCCTTTTATCTACATGTTCAGTTCTCTGTTTACCATTAGGTCGGCATCCCAATCCTTTCTGTCAAAACGAAGATCAGAACTTAAATTATTAATTTTTCTTTTCCTCATAAATTGCATAGAGTGTGTGACTCTTTTATATTTTTAGCCAAGAACAAGGAGGACTAGGCATGCTTCTGAGTTCTGGCATTTAGCATCAGCGCTCGCTCTTCCCCCACAACGAGATGCTTTATGTCTCTGCAAATAAATTCTTATTTCGATAAACTAATATCAATATATATTTTTAGTAAAAGGATTTTTTTTGTTTTTTTGCCTTAAATAAATACAAACAAGCAGCAACAACAGGTGAACGTGCGAATTCATATAGCTCAAAGGACGAGTTTTGATGCATGCAAACCTCAATGGAGAAGTCGACATAATAGATTGCATTTGCCCAAACACAAGCAAGCATTTCATCATTAGAAGCAGCAACAGAAGTGAGATTTTTGTCATAGGCTGGTTTTTGTCCTCAAATATGCCTTAATACACAAGTTATGAAGTCGAGCAGCTAAATGGATCACAGTCGTCTACCTATATAGTAGACAGAATCCCGTCCAATGTGAACCAGGGTCAATACATACCATAGTACGGACAGCCAGTGCTGATATAATTTCAGCGCATCACTACCAGGCACCATGGGATTCAACAATTAGTCCTAGATATATCTCACTGGTTCAGTCCCTGCTCATTTGCACTTCCACAAATTTGCGCAGTGAAAAATATCTTGTGGCGAAATTCAGCTGTTACCAGAGACTTGACCCCCAAACTGTGATACAACAAACAGAGATAGACAAGTCACAAAATATTCAATTATTGAATAATTATATATATATATATATATTTGCAATTTTGAAAGCACCTGAAGGATGGTGAACTTAATTATACCTCCTCTGCAAACACTTCCCAGAAAATTCCTTCTAGTGTACGTTTCGATTTAGCAAACCTTGAAAAGATAGGTATAGATCTTTGTTATCCATACCAAAAATCTGTTCCGCTTTCCTCAAAGTTTCCTGGTTGTTTGAAAGAAAAGAGATTGTGCAGTTAACAGGGCTACATGAAACCAGGATAAAAAAATAAGATTAACTTCCGTGGTTTATACCTCACGGGATTGCTTTTGCGCATTTAGTTCCTTTATGTTGGCCAGAAATGCACTGAACTGCTCATAGGATAGACGGCTCCTACATAAACAGTCCAGAAGCAATCGAACAAGTTTATAATCCCTCTGAATTAAGCAATCAAGTTAGAGTAACAGAAAGAGCAAAAAGTTGGTAGCTACCTTGCTTGACGAAAGAACTCTTTTCCATCAATTCGAGGAGTGCGAGCTTAAAAGTTCCAAATCCATAAAAAGAAAATGCAAAAAAGATCAGAAGCTGTCTAACCATATTAAAATGCACAGAATTCATTAGCTACCAGACACAGCAATTAATACAGCTTCCAATCAGATGTCCTTCCTTAACGATGATGATATGACTAAGAACAACCCCACATCACAAAATATTTTGCAGATTGATAGGCTTTACCTTTAAGACTAGCTATCAATTATGAAATCTAATATCCAGAATTCAGCAGACCTGGCATGGGGCGACCACGAGGGGGAGAGTTTGCTGCTGATGACTGCTGGCTTGATGGGTACCATGATGATAGTGAACCCCGCATTTCATATTGGCTTTTAGTAGGAGAGGTAGCACCAGAAGTTTTTTGAGGGGATCCTGCAGCAGAATACCTCCCAGGGGACACACTAGCAGAGACGATTTTTGGAGTTGCAGTAGGAGTAAGACGTGGAGATAAATACGGTGTCATAGAAAATTTCAACCCACTTTGTTTCGAGGCTGTGGTACCGCAAGCCAAACAAAAAGGAGCAAGATAAATCAGATAAGCGATATAACCTAAGCAGGTATCCAAGGTGATCCAGAAGAAGGATTTCATAGCCCCTACCATCATCAGAAATGCTTGCAGTATCTGTTCCAGAGGAAGAATAATGTTGTGTTGTGTAGCCATTCACCTCCTCATCTGCAAGGTGGAGTAGGTAGACGTGTTAA